TAGAAAGCTTATGAAGGAAATTGAAGAAGATATAAAGAAATAGAAAAACATTCCGTGCTCATGGATTGGAAGAATAAATATTGTTAAAATGTCAATACTACCCAAAACTATCTACACATTCAATGCAATCCCAATCACAATTGCACCAGCATTCTTCTCGAAGCTAGAACAAGCAATCCTAAAATTTGTATGGAACCACAAAGGTCCCGAATAGCCAAAGTAATTTTGGAGAGGAAGACCAAAGCAGGAGGCATCACAATCCCAGACTTTAGCCTCTACTACAAAGCTGTCATCATCAAGACAGCATGGTATTGCACAAAAACAGGCACATAGACCAATGGAATAGAATAGAAACCCCAGAACTAGACCCACAAACGTATGGCCAACTCATCTTTGACAAAGCAGGAAAGAATATCCAATAGAAAAAAGACAGTCTCTTTAACAAATGGTGCTGGGACAACTGGACATGCATAAGGTTGAAACTAGACCACTTTCTCACACCATTCACAAAAATAAACTCAAAATGGATAAAGGACCTGAATGTGAGACAGAAAACAATCAAAACCCTAGAGGGGAAAGCAGAAAAAGACCTCCCTGACCTCAGCCGTAGCAATCTCTTACTCGACACATCCCCAAAGGCAAGGGAATTAAAAGCAGAAATGAACTACTGGGACCTTATGAAGATCAAAAGCTTGTGCACAGCCAAGGAAACAACCAACAAAACTAAAAGGCAACCAACGGAATGGGAAAAGATATTTGCAAATGACATATCGGACAAAGGGCTAGTATCCAAAATCTATAAAGAGCTCACCAAACTCCACACCCAAAAAACAAATAACCCAGTGAAGAAATGGGCAGAAAGCATGAATAGACACTTCTCTAAAGAAGACATCCAGATGGCCAACAGGCACCTGAAAAGATGCTCAACGTCGCTCCTCATCAGGGAAATACAAATCAAAACCACACTCAGATATCACCTCATGCCAGTCAGAGTGGCCAAAATGAACAAATCAGGAGACTATAGATGCTGGCGAGGATGTGGAGAAACGGGAACCCTCTTGCACTGTTGGTGGGAATGCAAATTGGTGCAACCACTCTGGAAAGCAGTATGGAGGTTCCTCTGAAAATTAAAAATAGACCTACCCTATGACCCAGCAATAGCACTGCTAGGAATTGACCCAAGGGATACAGGAGTACTGATGCCTAGGGGCACTTGTACCCCAATGTTTATAGCAGCACTCTCAACAATAGCCAAATTATGGAAAGAGCCTAAATGTCCATCAACTGATGAATGGATAAAGAAATTGTGGTTTATATACGCAATGGAGTACTACGTGGCAATTAGAAAGATTGAAATATGGCCCTTTGTAGCAACGTGGATGGAACTGCAGAGTGTGATGCTAAGTGAAATAAGCCATACAGATAAAGACAGATATCATATGTTTTCACTGTTATGTGGATCCTGAGAAACTTAACAGAAATCCATGGGGGAGGGCAAGGAAAAAAAAAAGAAGTTAGAGTGGGAGAGAGCCAAAGCATAAGAGACTCTTAAAAACTGAGAACAAACTGAGGGTTGATGGGGTTGGGAGGGAGGGGAGGGTGGGTGATGGGTATTGAGGAGGGCACCTTTTGGGATGAGCACTGGGTGTTGCATGGAAACCAATTTGACAATAAATTTCATACTAAAAAAATGATAAAAAATTATTTTACTATTAATTTTTATTAGCAGCTAGGGCATCGTAAGCTACTGTCTACTTAAAGGCAAACTATCCATAATTTAGTAATATAATGCATAATAATTGTTTGCCTGGGGAGTTATATTTTTATTAGAGAAGACAGATGGCCAATTAGCAAGTTAATATCAGGATTTAGAAAAAAATACAGATTCTGGTGTCATTATGCTCTTCATTTGTATTGAGTACCACACAGTGTAATAAAACTACTGACCATGGGTAATCTGGAAAAAATGTTTATTTATATTCCTCACACTCTAAGGAAAAATGCATATTTAATTAAATTTAGAAATAAAGGCAGTTGTATTCAAAACGACATTATCCATTATCTAGAATGAATTTCCTGTTTGCCTATTTCCTTTAAGTATTAAAAAAAATAATTCTGGACACATATTTTTCTGTTTTTTTAAGTGGTATTTAAAAATAATTTTGAGGCTTCTTACTAGTTAATTTATCTTTAAAATCTTTCTTTTTACAAGTGAGAATAAGCTGATGGTTGCCAGAAGGGAGGGGAGCTAACGGATGGGCAAAATGGGTGAGGTGGAGTCAGAGATACAGGCTTTCAGTTACAGAATGAATAAGTCATGGGAATAAGATCTACAGCATAGGGAATATAGTCAATGGTACTATAATAGCTTTCTATGGTGACAGATGGTAGCTACACTTGTGGTAAACATAGGATATCATACAGAATAGTTGAATCCTACCTTGTATGCCTGAAACTAATGTAACATTTTGTGTCAAGTATACTGAAAAAATGTTTTTCTTCATGCCCTTGTTACGAAATTGGGTGGATTTCTTTGGATGTCTGCTCCCATACAATCAAACAAATATCGTGCTAAGCATTAGGAATGCAGAGATGAGTATGATTAATACCTGCATTCAGGCAGCTCATGGTCTAGTGGGAGAGAAAGACAAGGTGATGAGTTATTAGGACACAGTGTAACAATATTCTATGGTGACTATCCGCTGGGAAAAGTGGTCTTTTCTCATATAGTAGCATTTTCATGTTGGGAATTTTATGGGAATGCTGCCAAAAATTGAAAGACATATTACATTTTTAAGGGATGGGCATATGTGGACTTTAATTAGAAGAGGTATTCGACAGACTCTTTCATTTGGAAGGCATTCTTAGGGTTGGTGAAACTAACTAGAGTAGAGTATAGTTGTTTCCTTGGTGACAGTAATTAGAATAGAGTAGTTGCTTCCTAAATATGAAAATTTTAAAAAAACTAATGTCATCATGACCCATGTTTATAATGATGATTTTAAACAGGGCAGAAACTAAAGCGCTCAAGCATAAAACTGCTGTACTGTGTTCAATATGGAATTGAACTTGGTGCACCTGGATGGCTCAGTTTGTTAAGCATCTGACTTTGGCTCAGGTCATGATCTCATGGCTTGTGAATTCGAGCCATGCGTCGGGCTCTGTACTGACAGTTTGGAGCCTGGAGCCTTGTTCGGATTCTGTGTCTCCCTCTCTCTCTGCTCCTCCCCCCCCTCTTTATCTCAAAAATAAACATTAAAAAAGTAAAAAAAAAATCACAGACTTGTGGGGAAACCTTAAAGACCCTTTTAACATAACATGTTTGTCATGTGAGAATACTGAAATAAAGTGGTTTGTGATTTGGCCAAGGCTGCTTAGCTTATACATGGCAGAGCTAAGAGCAAAACTTAGTCTACTGACTCTTCTACCAGTATTCTTTCATGTGGATAGAAATTCCAGTAAGTGTTTTTATTATATTCTTTGAAGACTAGTAGTACATTCATAGTATGTGGTGAAAACTCAGTTAACCATAATTTAAATGTATACAATCTGATGATGTTGCTTTTGGTATACACATATTCTGTTGCAAAGGTGCATACAGATATGCCATACTTTAATCCAAAATGGTAGCTGCAAAGCATATGTATTTGCATTAAAAGGGTTTTTTTATTTTTTAAAAAAGAAACCCCTTCAAAAGGAAAACTCACTCTCATAGCTACTTAAGAGTCTGCTGAAATAATATTTTAATGTGTAACGAACATCCATGGACATACGTTCAGAGCTGATTCTTCATTTATGACTGAATACTCCTCCTACCTACCACTCTGGTGAATTAATGTTTGACTACCTGTGTTATTTTAGCTACCATGAAGTCTAGCTACTTGGGATTATGTTCGTGCCTGCTTTGGCCACAGCCACTATTTATTAATTAATTAAAGAATGAATTGAGATGATTCTTGCCATCTAGATAAGAATTAATATGGTATTATGGAAATCTACCAAGATTTCTAGACATGGTGATTAACTGGTCATGTGAACTTAAACTCTGTGGATCTCAGGTTTTTTTCCACTATATAGTCAGAATGTTAGATACTATTTCCCAGCTCTTGTTATTTTGTGATAGGTAATACATTTGACGTTTTTTCATCCTAGCTACTATGCTTCTCTAGGGACTAGAATTACACCTCATCTGAGTGTAATCTTCACAGCTGAATAGAGCAACAAAAAGCAGAACAACACTCCCTGGGTACCTTCTTATCTGCCTGACCAGGTGGTAGGAAATCTGGCATATAATTTATATACAAAATTTCAATAACAAATATGGCCTGGAAACATTTGTTTGGGATTTGCAGATTTTGTTTGCCTATAGCCAGTTTTTCATTTCAATAATATGGCTAGTTGGACATTTAAGTATTTATATATCACTGACTACTTAAAAGGCTACAGTGGAATTCTATTTCAAAGAACTTTGGAAGCTCACATATTTTGTCATGCCCTATAATGTACAAGGTTTTATCTATCTTTTTTTCTGCATCTACTTCATAAATCATACTCCAATGAGGGTCCTTTTATTGAGGAGACTCCATGCCCAACATGGGGCTTGAATAAACCCTGAGACTGAGAGTCACATGCTTTACCAATATTATGATTTGGATGCTCAACCAACTGAGCCAGCCAGGCACCACTCCAGTGAGTTAGTTATTGATGTTTTTCTTGTGTCACTACCTTGTTGGAAGGGAAAGCTGAAACAGGAAAAGCTGAAACATAGATTTTATGTGCTTATATTTACATGCAATTACTTAAGAGGGGTGGTGAAGATGGTGGTGTATCTCTATGTGTTAGAAAACAGGGAAATGAATATACCAGTAGTCCATAAAACTCTGTGTTATATTGAAGGAGTTGGATATTCAGTTAATTTCTGGTGAGATTTCTGATTCTTAATGGAGCTAATCTTAAGATGTTGCAGCTGGATTTGAGTATTTTTGGATTTCTTTTTACAGGATGAAGGAATTGTTAAAGAAATCCCTATTACTCATCATGTTAAGGAAGGGTATGAGAAAGCAGATCCTGCACAATTTGAGTTGCTCAAAGTTCTTGGTCAGGGATCCTTTGGAAAGGTAATAAATGTTTTATTCCACATTGTTTCCTCTTCTAAACATTTAGCAAATAAAAGGTACACATATAGAAAAATCTGAAAATATGCCATTTCTAAATTTGTCAAAGGATACACACAAAGGTAATTCTGTAATTTTACTGCTTTTATTTCTACTTTTAATTCCATTTCTTTATACTTCTCTATAATAATGAATGTTTTCCAGTACCTTTGGCTCACTGATTTCTTTTTTTCATGTATATTTATTTATTTTCAGAGAGAGAGAGAGAGAGAGAGCACTCACATGAGCAAGTTAAGGGCAGAGAGTGAGGGAGAGAGAGAATCCTACATAGTCTCCACATTTTCAGCACAGAGCCTGATGGTGGGGATCCATCTCATGAACAGCAAGGGCATAAACTGAGCCAAAATCAAGAATCAGATGCTTAGCTGACTGAGCCACCCAGGCACTCATCACTGATTTCTTTAGGACAAAATATAGCATGCTATTTATTACCTGTCTAAATTAAAGTATTTTTTTAAAAAAGTCTTCCTTGTTTCTCTGTTCATATGCTTGCATGATTACAGCTTTCTCTCTCCTGATGATTTTATTTATATTCTGTAGCTCTATCACAAAAGCCAGAATGTAGGTATCAATTCATATATGAATGCATGAATTCACCTATCATCTGTTAAAGTAGTATGTGTGAAGGACAAAAGGGAAGGATACTGGGTGACATGTGGATGATGTGAAACCCTACATTTAAGGAGCTTAAATTTCAAGAGAAAGAGAAAAAATTGAGAAACATTAATTCAGAAATTCATTATTAAAACTGTATATTAAGTGCTTAATGGCATATAATTTTTCGAGGGTGTAGGTCTGGTTCTTGACTTTGTACAGCTAATATCTAAGTCATGAAAGTTACTGCACACACACAGACACATAGCCTTTAGGAAAACAGAAACAACAATTGAAGGGGAGAAAGATAAGGAGAAACTACTAATTTGAGTGTGGCTGAGATTTAGTTTTAAAGGGGAAAAGCAGGGCAACTGAGCAGTGATTATTATGATCTAAATCATTATGATTTAAATCATTTTAAAAGAAAGATACACACCCACACACACATAATTTAAATTCAACTTTGTTAACATTCAGAGTAGTCTTGGCTTCAGGAGTAGAACCCAGTGATTCATCACTAACATATGACACCGAGTACTCATCCTGAAAAGTGCCCTTGTTAATGCCCATCACCCATTTAACCCAACCCCCACTCACATGCCCTCGAACATCTCTCAGTTTGTTCTTTGTAGTTTAGAGTCTCTTATGATTTGCCTCCCTCTCTGCTTTTTATTTTCCCTTTCCTTCCCCTATGTTCATCTGTTGAGTTTCTCAAATTCCACATATGAGTGACATCATCTGATGTCTGTCTTTCTCTGACAGGCTTATTTCACTTAGCATAATACCCTCTAGTTCCATCCACATAGTTGCAAATGGCAAGATTTCATTCTTCTCATTGCCAAGTAGTATTCCATTGTGTGTGTGTGTGTATGTGTGTGTGTGTGTGTGTGTGTGTGTGTGTGTGTGTACCAAATCTTTCTTAATCCAGTTATCAGTGGATGAACATTTTGGCTCTTTCCATAATTAGGCTATTGTTAATAGCACTGCTATAAATATTGGGGTGTATGTGCCCCTATGAATCAGCATTTTTGTATCCTTTGGATAAATTCCTAGTAGTCCAATAGCTGGGTTGAAGGGTAGTTCTATTTTTATTTTTTTTAATTAAAAAAGGAACCTCCATACTGTTTTCCAGAGTGGTTGCACCAGTTTGCATTCTCGCCAACAGTGCAAAAGAGTTCCTTTTCTCCACATCCTCGCCAACATCTGTTGTTTCCTGAGTTGTTAATTTTAGCCATTCTGACAGGTGTGAAGTGGTATCTCATTGTGGTTTTGATTTCTATTTCCCTTATGAGTGACATTGAGCCTTTCTTCATGTGTCTGTTAGACATCTGGATTAAAGTGTCTATTCATACCTTTTGCTGATTACTTCACTAGATTGTTTTTTGTGTGTTGAGTTTGGTAAATTCTTTACAGATTTTGAATACTAACCCTTTATCTGCTATGTCATTTGCAAATACCTTCTCCCATTCCATTAGTTGCCTTTTAGTTTTGTTGATTGTTTCCTTTGCTGTGCAGAAGGTTTTTATCTTGATGAGGTCCCAGTAGTTCATTTCTGTTGTTATTTCTCTTGCCTCTGAAGATATATCAAGTAAGAAGTTGCTATGGCCTAAGTCAAAGAGGCTGTTGCCTGTTTTCCACTCTAGGATTCTGATGGTTTCCAGTGTCACATTTAGGTTTTTCATGCATTTTGAATTTATTGAATCTGTGTTGTAAGAAAGTATCTATGTTCATTCTTCTGCATGTTGCTGTCCAGTTCTCCCAGCACCATTTGCTAGAAAATATCTTTTTTTTTTTCCGTTGGATAATCTTTCCTGTTTTGTCAAAGATTAGTTGGCCATATATTTGTGCTTCCATTCTGTATTCTCTATGCTATTCCATTGGTCTATGTGTTTCTTTTTGTGCCAATAGTATCCTGTCTTGATTATTACAGCTTTGCAATACAGGTTAAAGTCTGGATTTGTGATTCCTCCAACTTTGGTTTTCTTTTTTAAGATTACATTGGGTATTTGGGGTCCAGAATTATTTGTTCTAGTTCTGTGAAGAATGCTAGTGTTATTTTGATATGGATTGCATTGAATGTGTAGATTTCTTTAGGTAATATTGACATTGTAACAACATTTGTTCTTCCAATCCATGAGCATGGAATGTTTTTCCATTTCTTTGTGTCTTCAGTTTCTTTCATAAGCTTTCTATAGTTTTCAGCATACAGATATTTTACCTCTTTGGTTAGGTTTATTCATAGGTATCTTATAGTTTTTGGTGGAATTGTAAATGGGATTGATTCCTTGATTTCTTTTTCTGTTGCTTCATTATTGGTGTATAGAAATGCAACTGATTTCTGAACATTGATTTTATATGCTGTGACTTTGATCAATTCATGTATCAGCTCTAGGAGGTTTTTGGTGGAGTCTTTCTGGTTTTCCATGTAGAGTATCATGTCATTTGTGAAGACTGAATATTTGACTTCTTCCTTGCTGATTTGGATGACTTGTAATTCTTTTTGTTGTATGATTGCTGAGGCTAGGACTTCCAACATTATGTTGAACAACAGTGGTGAGAGTAGACATCCATGTCGTATTCCTGATCTTAGGGGAAAAGCTCTCAGTTTTTCCCCATTGAGGATGATATTAGCTGTGGGCACTTCATGTATTGCTTTTATGATGTTAAGGTATGTTCCTTCTAACCCTACTTTCTTAAGGGGTTTTATCAATAAAGGATACTATATTTTGTCAAATGCTTTTTCTTCATCTATTGAAAAGATCATATGGTTCTTATCCTTTTTTTTTAAATTAATGTAGTGTATCACATTGATTGATTTGCAAATATAAAAACAGCCTGCACCCAGGAATAAGTCCCACTTGATCATGGTGAATAATTCTTTTAATGTACTGTTGAATTGGATTTGTTAGTATTTGTTGAGAAATTTTGCATACAGTTTCATAATGGATATTGGACTGTAATTTTCCCACTTAGTGGGGTCTTTGTCTGGTTTTAGAATCAAGGTAATCCTGGCTTCATAGAATGACATTGGAAGCTTTCCTTCTTTTTCTATTTTTTGAGGGGGGGACATTTTGAGGAGTATAGGTATTAACCCTTCTTTAAATCTCTGATAGAATTCCCCTGGGAAGCCATCCGGCCCAAGACTCTTATTTGGTGTGAGGTTTTTGATAACTGATTCAATTTATTTGTTAGTTATGAGCCTGTTCAAATTTTCTATTTTTTCCTCTTTGAGTTTTGGAGGTATGTGAGTGTCTAGGAATTTGTACATTTCTTCCAGATTGTCCACTTTGTTGACATATAAGTTTTCCTAGTATTCTCTTATAATTGTTTTATTTTTGTGGTAGGTTGTGATCTCTCCTCTTTCATTTGTGATTTTATCTATTTGGGTCCTTTCTCTTTTCTTTTTGAGAAGTCTGGCTAGGGGCTTATCAATTTTGTTTATTCTTTCAAAAAACCAGCTCCTAGTTTCATTGATCTGTTCTATTGTTTTTTTGGATTCTATATCTTTTATTTCTGCTCTAATATTTATTATTTATTTCCCTTCTTCTGCTGACTTTGGGTGTTATTCACTGCTCTCTTTCTAGGTCCTTTAGGTGTAAGGTTAGTTTGTGTGTTTGGGACCTTTCTTGCTCCTTGAGATAGGGCTAAATTGCAATGTATTTTACTCTTAGGACTGCACCCCAAAGGGTTTTAACTGTTGTGTTTTCATTTGCATTTGCTTCCATGTATTTTTTAAATTCTTCTTTAATTTCCTAATTAACCCATTCATTCTTTAGTAGGATGTTCTTTAACCTCCATGTGTTTGAGGGCTTTCCAATTTTTTTCTTGTGGTTGACTTCAAGTTTCATAGCGTTGTGATCTGACAGTATGCCTGGTATGACCTCAATCTTTTTGTACCTGTTGAGGGGTGATTTGTGACCCATTGTGGGATCTATTCTGGTGACTGTTTCATGTGCACTGAGAATAAGGTGTACTCTGCTGATTTAGGATGAAATGTTTTCAATATACCTGTTAAGTCCATCTAGCCCAGTGTGTCATTCAGAGTTGTTGTTTCTGTGTTAATATTCTGCTTAGATGATCTATACATTGTTGTAAGTGGAATATTAAAATCTCTCACAATTATGATATTATTATAAATAACTTTGCTTTTGTTTATGATTACTTGATTTATATATTTTGGTGCTCATTTTTGTGGGCATAAATATTTATAATTATTAGCTCTTTTTGATGGAAAAAACCCTTAATTATGATATAATGCCCTTATCCATCTCTTGTTACAATCTTTGGTTTAAAATCTAGTTCATCTGATATAAGTATGGCTACTGTGGCTTTCTTTTGATGTCCATTAG